GGGGGGAGGCGAGTGGGTCCGAACTAACAGTTCCCCGGGCGCCCGCAGCGGGGAGGGCTGGCGGCGGGGCGCGGATCGCGCCGGGCAGGGAGCCCCGAGACAAAAGGCGACGCCGGGGCCGCCGCGCCGCCGCCGCTCCATCGCGCTCCCCATTGAACTGACCCGAACCCGAGCTCCAACTACACCCCTCAGCCTCAAACTCCGCGGGCTTCCGACCGCGCCGAGCCGGCCCGGCCCGAGTCTCTCTTACCTACACAGTGCATGAGGCGGTGGCGCCAGGAGTCGAGTTCCCGCCGGAATCCTCTCCTCTCCGCCGCGCACCGAGGGCTCCGGCACTGAGCGGCGGCAGCGGCAGCGGCAGCGGCGGCAGCGGCCATTCTCTCCCTTCCCTTGTCCATCTGCGTCCCGCGTCACGCGCCCTCATTTACATACGAGCGGCGCAGGCACGAGGCAGGGGCGCGAGCCCTCGGCGCGAGCCCCGGAGCGCGCGCCCCCCGGAGGGGGGTTGATTGACACGTGTCACTACCTTCCCTCGGCCCTTCCCTCCCCCTCCCTCCGCTCCCTCGGGGAGAGGCGGGGAGGGAGCTTCTCAGGCAAGCCGTTCTGCTCCCGCCGTCCGCGAAAATCCTGAGCGGGAGCAGGAGACCGGGAAGCCCGCCAGGAACCCGCGTGCTGAAGAAGCCGACTAGCAACGCCTCCCTCTGCCTTCGCGCCGGCTCTGGAAGTCCGGAGACTTCACTTCCCAGTCTCCATTGCGCCCGGGGCTCGAAGGCGAACTCGCGGACGTGACGCGGTGCACTCTGGGTGTTGTAGTCCCGTAGTAGCGATGAGCGCTCCTGAGTCTGGTTCGCCCGCTCCTACTGACAGTCTGGCTTCAAACTTCTTGGGCTTTTCTAGGGGTGGGTTTAGGTTCTCGCTCTCCGGGCCCAGGTGCCTATGCTACCGCTCGTTGTCCAAGCCGATCCAGTCACCTTAGCTTCCTCTGGTTCTGCGATTGGAGCGCTGTGGAAGCCCAAGAGTTGCCTGTCTCTTGTGGGGTCTGGCTGCTCTTTAAGTGCTGGAAACTTCAGGGTTGCTGTCGTCTTTTACCGCTGTTCAGGGAAAGGGCAAACCAGTCATTTGGCTGCATCTGAAATTGCTGCCAGATGTGAGAACTGCAGGGCCAATCATTCCGAGGCAGAGTTAGAAAAGTGAGAATATTTGCAAAGATCACGGACACGAAGAGGGGCTTTTCACCATAAATAATGTTGGGTGTAGCTGGCTGAAAACTCCAGCTCCGCAAACTGTAAACCCTCATGCTCCGCAAACTGTAAACTCTTGCAAGACGATAATCCACGGAGACTTTTGTTCCTTGACATCTTTTTTTTTTTTTCGTCCAACTCTAATACAGTGAGTTACAAGGGATCCAATACTTTATAATTGTTATGGGATGAATCCTACACTGTACTAGAGGAAATTTCCTTCGAGAGAAAGAAATCTTTTGATTAAATATAAAGTCTAAATTGCTTTTTTTTTTTTTTTAACTTTTGCACTAGAGCCATTCTACATTTATTTCTGTATGATCAAAAGAGACCAAGCCGGAGGTTAGGCATCCAAAGTTTACAGAGGAGGACTGCCAGTTACTGGCAATTTATGCTCAAGTCTGTGGAGGAATACATTTTAATTCTTGGAAACTCATAAATTTTCAATTTTGTAGTATCCTCCCTGTTTCATGGCATAGCCTTATCTACCTTCCTTTTCTTTCCTATAAAAAAGTAGCTTATTGCCCAGGATTGCCTCAGTGGTGAAGATGCCACTTTACATATTCATAATTTTTTTTATTTAGTATAAAATTTGAAGGCAGATGTGGTGCTCTATGCCTGTAATCTTGGCATTTGGGAGGCTGGGGCAGGACTGCTGGGGTACATAGCATGTCAAAAAAAGGGGGAAAAAAAAGTCTGAAATTGTATAGCCCGTCTTCTTAAAGAATGATCATAATTGAAGATCAGTGCCAAGATTATCAGCTTTGTAGTATTCTTATCAGTTGTTTAGCAATCTAGTTAAACTACAATAAGTTGCCGGGCGTAACAGAGGTCCCAAAAATCTTAAAGCAAAATAGATTTCCTGCCTTTTCATATGTTAATCTTGGGGGTGAGCAGGTTCAATTCCGGGTGGTTTTCACAAAGGACCTGGCTCCTTTGAGAGAGCAGACTGGTTGGAAGTTTTCCTTTGGTATGAACTAAAAAAAAAAAAAAGAAAAGAAAAAAAAGATGAGGAATGACAAACTAATTCTTCCTAAAAAGGATTGGCCAAAACAAGTCCTATAAGTATGCCTTCTCTTCAAGGGCACAAGAGCGGTATGATCTACTGTTTTCCTAGAGGAAAGATAACCAGAATTTATTAATGAATAGCACCAAGATAATCGCAATACACTTCTAGTGACCGTTACTGTGCACTCTCTCTTTACAAAATACATTCACTTGTACAAGTGAGACAGCATGAAAGTTCGATTCAGTAAGATATTAATCTTGCAATCTAGAATCTGTGGGTGAAGTTTGCTCCTCTTTATTATAAAACTTATACGTACAGAGACCTAAAAAGGCATAGCATCGATCCTCACCCAGATAGACACACACTCTCTCTTTCAGTCTATGGGGTGGGACAGGTACCAAATCATTTTGTGCTGCTATATAGCAGTACTACAGGAATTTAAAGAGAATAGAAATTTCTCATAGTTCTGGAGGCAGGAAAACCAGGTGCAAGGGTGCTAGCATCTGACAAGAGCTTGCATGTTGTTTTCCCACTGGGAAGGGCAAAGAGAGCCAAAGAATAAAAGGTTCTTTCATAACGAACTCACTCCCAATATAACAGCTTCAATCCATTCGCTCTGTGGTCATGGTCTAATCACCTATATCCTATTGTTGTATCCTACTTCCCAACACTATTGCCTTGCAGATTAACTTTCCAGCATATCCTTTTGGAAGGAACATATTCAAACCATAGCTCAGAGAAAGATATATCAACTATTTTCCAAATATTTTACCATAGGATTGCCATCTTTCCAGGCCCTAACAAGTTTCCTTGCCAGCACCCACTGAGCCTCTAAGTTGTAGCTACTTATTTTATATTATCTGCCACAAATCTTTCTCCTAGGTACCAATTTCTACATTAATCAGAATGACATATGTGATACTCCAATAACAGAAATCCAAAATCTCAGTGCTTTCCTGCAAAAGTTTATTTCTTATTATAACCTCCATAGGTTAGGGTTGGAAGATGGGGGAGAATTGTTCCATGTTCAACCAGGGACCAGAGCTTATAGAATTCCACCATCCAGAAGCTGAGCAGACACCATGACAGAAGAGAGGTGATGCAAAATTGTAGCCCAGCTCTTAAAAACCTTCTGACCAAAGTGACATAGTTCATGGATGAAGCAAATGTTATATATGGTCATGATAACTTTGAAGGAATGATACATAACTTTGAGAACCTAACAAACCACCCCAAAACTTAATAGCTTAAAACATCAACCATGGGCCAGAGAGATGGCTCAGCTAGTAAAAGGATTTGCCATCAACCATAATAACCTGACTTTACCAATGGAAACCTACTGTTTTATAAGCTTCATCGATATGTGCACTTCATAGAAAAGATTTTTCACTGGGGTTATCCTGTACAGGAGATTGTGCTTATCCCAGAACTCATAGATTGCCAAATAAAAAACCTGGTGCTGGGGGCTGGAGAGATGGCTCAGTGGTTAAGAACACTGGCTGTTCTTGCAGAAGACATGGATTCAAATCCCAGCACCCACATGGCAGCTAACAACTCTCCATAACTCCAGGGGATCCAACAGCCTCTTCTGTCTTCTGCTGGCATTGCACAACATGGGTTCACTTACCTACATGCAGGCAATACATGCATACACATAAAATAAAAATAATAAATAAAATATTTTTTAAAAAACCTGGTGCCAGGTGTGGAATACTTCCCTTTAAGCTGTTGGTCAGAAGGGTTCCAGAATCCCTCCAAAACAATACAGGCTATGCCTATTGTTCTTAATTGCCCACCAAAACTTGATGGTAAGATCTTATTGCTGAAGAAACCACTCATGTTGGTCATAGGACACAGAGAAATCAAGTTGGTACTGAGCAGGAAGCTTCCTCCCTTTGACTAGCTCTCATAGTACTAGAAGTTGCTCTACAGGCTGCTGGGGGGAAAAGTCATCAGCAGTGGTATCCAGCTGTGAATGCTGTGAACTGTAATAATGACTGGCATGGCAAGATATGTTCATGGGTGCAGTAGTGGCATAGATGTTATGGTAACCAATTAATTTCTGATTGGATTTAAGGCCTGCTCCACAGGAGGAAACACATGCCTGATACTGCAAATCTGGCCAAGAACTCATGGTAGGGGAGCACACAGGTCCCAGAGGTAAGCCTACTACTATTATTTGGCTAAATGGACATGATATCAAACTGCCCTCTAAATCTGTTTTTCTATACTCATAGATTAGTGCCACTGTCAGACTTCATCAGAGAAGTTTCTTTCTGCAGTGGATGTTGGTTAATGTAGAAAACTCACAGCTGGTCAAAGTATAGAGAATAAATGACTGTAGAGTCCTCAGCCACAAAAGGGACATCTGTAGTACATGGCTTCTCTAAGGCTCAGGGACCATCAGGGAAGAAAGGCAGAAAAGTTATAAGAATGAGAGTTCAGGGAGGACCAGAGCAAAATCTGTGTTTTCTGGACATGACGGGATTGCTGCACTCTTGAATGCACAGCAGTTATGGTTGCCTGCACAAGATGAATTCAGTCAACATTCGGGCGTGGAGTGGGAGGGGTTCATGAGCCCCTACCCCTGACTGAGGAGCTATGGGTAGTTGAAGGCTTCTGGAAGAGGGAGAGTCAATTTTATTTAAGGGTGTGACTCCTGACAGATTGACTAAGCTCCAGTGGATGGTCCCACACCCAGAAGTATACAGACAGTGCAAATTGGTGTCAATGGGTTGTTTAAATTAAAAAAAAAAAAGAGGCTACAAAGTTGTCGGGGGTGGGTAGAGAGATAGGAGTGGGTCTGGGAGGAGTTAAGGGAAGGAGTTGGGGGTGAATATGATCAAAATATATGAAATTCTCTTATTATTTTATTTTATTTTAAGTGAATGAGTGTTTTGCCTGAATGTAAGTGGACCACATGTCATGCAATGCCCATGGAGGCAAGAAGAAGGTACAGGATTCTCTGGAACTGGCATTAGGAACAATGGTTAGCCACCATGTGGGTGCTGGGAACCAAACCCAGGTCCTCTGCAAGAGCAGCAAGTGGAGTCATCTCTCTAGACCCACTGTATGAAATTCTCAAAGAATTAATATATATTAATATTATTATATTATATCATTATATTATTTTATATTATGTTTTAAACCTGACTTTGATCTCCAGGACTCTGATGGTGGAAGATGAGAACTGACTATTGCAAGTTGCCTTCTTACCTCCACACACATGCTATGACACATGCAGGCACATGCACACATGCATACAGTGAATAACTACATGCTTCAAGAACAAC